ACCTAAATTACATTTCTCAAGTTTCTACTGCAATCCATTTTTTAATTGAGGTTTTGCTATAGTGAGAGAACACTTAGCAATCTTGGAAAACAATTCTACATATCCGAAGGGTTCCTATAGCCTTTCCTCATATATTCTTAATTTCCAAATTTCTTAGATTAACTTGTAAGGCTCATAGCTGACAACGGATATCTGCTATAGCTGAGTTTGGCTAATATTAAGTGTATTGTAGATTCCTTCTCTTAGACTGCCCATACATCTGTCCTGTAATTTAACAATGCAAGAAATGATCTAGTAAAGTTAATGACCCATTGCAAAGGCAAAAGTAAACTCATATAATGAAGCATCTTATACTCTTCTCTAAGCAGGTAATAAGGCATTTTAATGAGCTAAGTGTGTTTGAATATTTAATCTCAGAATACCCCTTAAAAATTGTTCTCTGAATTTAAAGAAATATTCCACGCACAATCCAAAATCTTAGAGGCTTGCTTTCAGTGGCTGCTCCCTATCAGTAAAGTATTGAAAATGTTCTTTCCAGTCACTTCAAAAGCGTTCAGATAGAAGAGCTTTAATGTTAATATCAAAGACAATATAAAGGAAATATTTAAAAGGATGACACTGTGACAATCATTAAAAAAAAAGTTTATTGCAAGACTTTTCTTGAGCAGGTTACGTAGAAACAGAGAAAGCTTCAGCTGATAGTCCCAAAACGATACACTAAGCAGATTCCTACCTTTACAATAAACAAAAAAAAAAAAAAGTTGAAAATAAGAAGGTCTAACACAGGTAAATTATAGCACTCTCTGACATTTTAAAGTGATTTCAGAGAAAATATACTGCTTTTCTCACTACAGTAGAATTGATGGAACTAATTAAAAAAAAAAAGAATCATAGATCTCTCTCAACTGATAAACTCTCAATCAAAGCAGGTATCCCCTGACCTATGGTTCCCTCACTCACCTGTGGTTTCCTGGTGTCTTAGGCTGGGTTCTCTAGAGAAGCAACACCAGTAAAGTGTATAAATATATATACAGAGAGAGATTTATATCAAAGAAATAGCTCATGCAATTGTAGAGGCTGGAGCATCCCAAATCTGTGGATTAGGGTAGAGGCTTCTCCTGATTCACGTAGCCACAGGGGCTGGTGAACCCAAGATCGGCAGGTCGGAAAGCAAGACTCTGCTCACAGGCTGTGAAGATCCACGAATCCCAGGACTGGCAGGTAAGCTGATAGCTCAAGTCCCAAGAACTGGAGACCAGACGAACAGGAGGTAGCCTCGAGATCCAGAGCAAGCAAAAAGCCAGAACATCTGCTTATATTCGGATGCAGGTCACACCCCCAAGGAAATTCCCTTGCAACTGACTGGCCACTCACAGCAGATTCAATCATGGAGTGATCACATATAAACACGGAGAATCATGGCCCAGCCAAGTTGACACACAATCTTAACCATCACACCTGGCTTCCACTGTAAACTTTTTGGGGACAAGAAATCTATTCCAACATGTTACACCAAAATTGTTCTCCCTTTGACTTTCAGCTAGTGACCTGGTTCTTCTTTCTGTTGTATTGGAACATAAGTCTGCACTCTTTTCCACATAGCAGCTCTTTAAATGTACAAAATAACTAGTATCACCTAAATCTTTCAAATTTAGACTATCACTAAGGTCCCTCAACCATTCCTCAAATGAAAATGGCTCATGATCTCTTAACAAACATCTTTTAACATCTTAATATCTGAACATCTCTTAACAAACTTCAGTTAGTTGGTATTTTTCTTTAGAGATGAGACTCAGAACTGATCACAATAATCAAGGTGGGATCTGACCATTGAACAAGCTATTAGGAATTATTAACTTGATTTGGAATCATATGTCTATGAATTTAGTCAAAGATTGTATTAGCTTTATATTCGAAGCCTACAGAAAACATGGTTGTTTTGTGAGTTTATCCTTTAATAAAACACTGGAACCATTTTCATATGATCTTCTGTCAAAGGGTATTTTTTAATTTTAATCTACTTTTCCCTATTATTAACTTCTTAGTGGTTTATGATTTTTTATTTCTTTTTTCCTGATTATACTGCATGTCTATTCTTTTGTCTCCCTAAACCTTCACATACTGCAGTTCAGTATCTCTATTATCGAGGCAAAAGGTCTAACTCCCTTCCACACCAATCATATCTCTAGTTAGGGCTGCCAGTGAGTTGATTGAGCCAGCAGATGGGCACGTGATCTAACTAAGATCTTTCCGTTTTTAAAATTGGAACCAAAGAGATTCCATTCTTCTCTAGTGATGAAACTAAGAGATGTGAAATACAGGAACTATCAGTGGTGGGACCACTCATGTAAACAAAAGTAGCCTGGAAAATATAATTAATGTGTAATGAAAAGTAGAAACCATGTTCAGGATTCCAGGTCCAGTTGTCCCTGAAACTTAACTATATCCTTAGGTTCTCTATGGGTACCTGAATTAATAAATTTCATTAAAAACAAAGCAGCAACAACAAAAAACACTTCATCATAGGCAACTAAATGAGTTCAAACATATTGATTTTGCTATCTAAAGTTTTTACTTATCCCTCCCAACTTTATGCCCTGTATTAGTTGTCTATTGTTGCTGTATCAAATTACTTCAAACTTGATGACTTAAATAATAAAAATTTATTATTTTACATTTCTGTAGGTCCAAATTTTGATGTGGACCTTAATCTCTGAAGTTAAGGTGTGGGCAGGATTACGGTGGAGGCTCTAGGAAAGAATTTATTTCTTTGCCTTTTCCAGGATCTACAGTCCATCTTCATTCCTTGGCTTATGGCTTCCTTCCTCCATCCTCAAAGCCAGTAACAGTGCATCTCTCTGACCATTCTTTCATAGTCACATCTCCCTCTGACCCTGACCTCAACTGGAAAAGGTTCTCTTAAGCAGTTGTCTTAGTCATCTAGTGCTGCTATAACAGAAATACCACAAGTGGATGGCTTTAACAAAGAGAAATTTATTCTCTTACAGTCTAGTAGGTTACAAGTCCAAATTCAGGGTGTCAGCTCCAGGGGAATGCTTTCTCTGTTGACTCTGGAGGAAGGTCCATGTCATCAGTCTTCCCTTGGTCTGGGAGCTTCTCTGTGCAGGAACCTCAGGTCCAAACAACACGCTCTGCTCCCAGCACTGCTTTCTTGGTGGTATGAGGTTCCCAACTCTCTGCTTGCTTCCCTTTCCTTTTACCTCTTGTAAGATAAAAGGTGGTTCAGGCCACACCCTAGGGAAACTCCCTTTACATTGGATCAGCGATACGACCTTAGTAAGGGTGTTATACAATCCCACCCTAATCCTCCTTAACATAAAGTTACAGTCACAGAATGGAGGACAATTACACAATACTGGGAATCATGGCCCAGCCAAATCAATACACACATTTTGTGGGGGGACATAATTCAATCCACGACAGGAGTCATGTGATTAAATTGGACTACCTCCATAATCCAGAGATTCCTGGGTGGCACAAATGGTTTGTAGTCGACTACTAAACCAAAGGCTGTGAGATTACAGCCATTGAAAACCCTAGTGAGCACAGTTCTACTCTGAAACACGTAAGGTCGCCGTGAGTTGGAACCTATTCATCGGCAATAGTTTTGTTTGTTTGATTTTAATCTGCATAACCCAGGACAATCTCCCCATCTTCAAGTCCTTGAAATCTTAATTACATCAGTAAAAATCCTTTTACCATAAAAGGTAACATACTCACAGATTCCAGGGATTTGGCATGGGCATCTTTGGTGGCCTCATGCCTAGCCCATGCGGTAATTCTCACTAAAAATGACAATTTCGTCTCTTATATCATCCAACTCAGTGATAAAAATATGTTGAACAGGAGAAGCCAAAGACACCCTCCACATTCATACAGCCTACTTATGAACATTATTTGGAAACAGTTATTTGATTAGAAACGGCTCCTCAAAACGGTTTTTCTGCAAAAGAAAATTCTAGTGCTTTTACCTTTTTCTGAAGACGAGTTTGGTGCTCATAACTGAATTTCTCCAGAATAAAATAAGAATGAAATTTTTGAAATGTAGGATTAAAAGTATTTCCATATCTACATACTTGAAGCCCGAGGCTGCTATAATTCCTGAATATATAAACACAGCATCTCTTTGTTTTACTAATTGCTTTGTTTCCCCAAGCTGCTAGCACAACATCTGCCAGGCCAGAATGCACTCCTTACACAGACCAAAGAGCCACCGATGAACAAATGACCTACACATCATGGCATAAGGACAGGATCTTTCCAGGCAGCCAGCAGGCAGTTTTCAAATGACAAAGATCTCCAGTAGAAATGAAGCTGAATGCCCCCAAATCTTTAGAGTGGTAATGGAGTTGTTGATACTGTAATGATCTCATACTGTCTGCAATTTTATTGATTTTGTTTTTCAATAGAACTGTTAAAGATAACAATTCCCAGATAGACAGAATGTGGGCAGATGCTCACATTCTCGCACACAATTCTGCCAAGATATTTTTACATCTTTCTGCTCATAAAACAAAATGAAGACGTGTTATAGATGCATGCCACTGGAAACTCCCAGAAGAAGGGAGTTTATTATATGTTCATTTCCTGGATGAAGTATTAAAACAATTCTACCTAGAAAAAATGAACAGCACTTCCAAAATGAAATAGATTTGCTTCTAAGGCACCTTATAAAATATTCTTAATTACCAAAACCCATTGAAACGGCAACTTGGGTCATCATATCCAATGTCATTCCTGCTATTTCTAGTTCAATACACACTTCATGGCACATCTACTCGTTAAGCATTAAAACACAGAATGCTGCAACAGCTTATGCTCTGTTGATGTTCATTCATCTACTGTGCATCAGAAAGGCTCATTTCAAATATGGTGTGAAAGAAAGAAAAGTAAGCAAAAAAACCAACTCAGAAAAGACTCAAAATAAATTGCCTCAGGAAACACACTCTAGAGGAAAGACCACAAAACCTTAGTCTTACCTTGGGAGATTTAGGCAGATCCATTGTCCTCTTTTCTGTTTGGGTGAGCAGAGTTGACTTTGTTTCCACCGCTGAGGGATGTTTAGGAGGGCGGGGTGGGGGATGCAAGAAAGAGCTTTCATATCTTCGCATCATGTAATATTGTTCTTCGGTGATCTCTTCTACCAGAGTCCTGACTAGAAACGATTCTGTGTCCCTAAACAAATTACTAACTAACTGAACGGTCATAGTCCAGCGGCCGATAGGAATTTCCCAGCACTCCCTGGGATTGGCAAAGTCACTTATGAGTAGATAAGAGTCTGTGATATCTTCCTCCAACCGCAGTCCTGGTGTAGCAGCCAAAATGTCCTCTTCAATAGAAAGATCTCTCACAGACACCTTCACGTTGAAGGGCAAGCGGAACTGTGTACAGAGCTCGGAAACCTGGTACTGTTTCTTATCATGAATCACTTCTACAAAACCTCCTTCCATGTACAAAGGCAGCAGTGCTGCCTCATAGGACTTTTTGAGGATTTTTTCACAGGCCAGAACATTCACCACTTTTTTTGTTCCCTGACAGAGGACTTCAGTAGTCTGTGAGTGATGCACTAGGAACTGGTCCCCGACTGATACGGATGACAGCTCGTCATAAGGGGGATGAAAGGCTTTGGTGGCTACCACATGGAGAGGCTCTTTTTCACTCTTAGCTATCTCTAGGTCATAGGCAGTTGGGAACTCCCGAGGTCGCCGCTTAAATTTGCCTTTATAGCTGGTGGGGATCAAGAAATGTCTTTTAGGAAAATTGCTTCTAATTTCCGAAGCTAAGATCCTCGATGCCTGGTACTTTTTGTGGATCACAATGGTTTTTCCAGGTTGTAAAACATTTCTGGGCAGCTGCTTTCCTTGAGGTCCTTCTATGACTTCGGCCACTATGGGGAACTCTTTACTGGTCATTTCAAAAAGATCTTCTGAAGATAACAGCTGAAGAAACCAGTTAGCATCATAACAATCAGTAATGTCTTTGACTTCAACATCTAAACTGGGGAGGATGCGGACTATATCCTTTCGGACTGCAAAAAAAAAAAAAAAAAAAAAGACTGGCATTTTGTGCATTGAAATGTTTGCTGTGAGACAGTAGTAGAATCTTTCCTGGTGCCACAGGTAAGTTTCATTTAAAAAAAAAAAAAAAAGATGATGAGAATATAACATTTCCTACATGTAACTTGCCTTTTATTAAATTTTAAGATGCACTAGATTATATATAAAACCAATATGCATACAACCACTGCTCAGTTTAAGGTATACATTAACCAGCACCTTGGAGACCTATGAATGTCGCCAAAATTGCATCCTCCTCGCTGCAGCCTAAGAGTAACCACTCACCTAAATTTTGTGTTAATCATTCCCTTGTTTTCCTTTATAGTTTTATCACACATAACGTGCATGACTATACAGTGTGTGTGTATACATAGATATACAAATATTAAACAAATATACTTACAGAAATATATATGCATATATATATTTATATATATTGCCAGAAGGTTTATAATACCTTTTCAAGTCATGTTCTTGTGGTCCAGATTTTATATGCAAAATTACCTTAGAAGAAAGTTCTGATACTTCACATTAGACCCTTCCTGCATAAGGTCCAAAACATAAATTCTTTAGGAACACATGTATCCTGTATGGTAGAACAACATTGCAAAATCAAGGGATATAAAATTCTTAGATTACTATATGGAAGTGGATACCAAAATGCAATCTTTTTCTAACATGAAAGTTCTTTTTATCTGCTGATACTGCATTAACACCTGGATCGAAAAGGAGTGGCACATCATAGATCATGGTCAAAGGAACCCTTCTGGAGCCCTAGGTGCATTGGCGGGGCGCTTACCAGTGTATCTTTGCCTAATGTGTCACTGAGGACTAATGAGTCTATATTTTTTCAAGCATCCAGTCTCGCAAAAGTCTTTCTTTGAGACCACAAAGACATTTAAAATATTGTCCTGAAATCATTTATCTGCTTTCCATGTACTACCCCATATAGCATCATTATAAATGGTCTTGCATTAAAAATAAAGTTGTGTGTTAACATTAATTTAGGATTTTATAATGGTTTCTATTTTCTTGAAAATTTCCTAACACAATATTTTATAGTATTCTCATTATTCTCCATTGTTTCCCATAATCTTCAACTGCCCTGTGTCAGTATTCTTTCCTCCTTGCATGCGTTTGAAAATGAACAATTTGGAAGATTTAAAAGACAAAGTGTTCTTCTACAAAACATTATGTATATTATTAATTTCTATATTATTAACTAATTATGCAGCATCTGAAAACAATTTTTTCACAAATAGCATGCCCATGCAAATAATGAGCACACATTGGAAATGACAAAATTATGTAAAACAAAGTTCTGGCAGAGCTTACCCACGCACACACTGTGCACGTCTTGTTACATTTCCAGAAGTGAATTTCGGCCTCATTTACCCTCATTCAATAGTCTGAAAATGTTACTTTTGTATTTGTATAATGAAGGTATAAGCCATGGTCAAGAAGTCATGGATTGAGTTTGGTGGTACTCTAGTAATCAGAAAATAAACGACTGAAACTGCATTTGCTCCAGGGCAGTTGGAGGCCTCAGAGTGGTGGAGTTCCTTGTAAGGGATCTGTGCCCAGGTATGTTGAGCTGAAGAGAAGCCTACTGTTGGACAGATAGCTGTGCTTAGGGCTGCCACAGCCCAAGCATTGTCCAGCGGTGCCAGCCCCACATGAGGCCAGAGGCAGGACGGTGCCGGTGCTAGCGTGGACACGCACTGCCCTGGCACTGCGGGGCCCCTGGGCAACCAGTCCAACCGGTCTTGTCTGAGCAAGCGACGCATGACCACTCTGCGCCCTTGGCTGTCACGCCCTCCCTGCAGAGTGTGTGTGTGGAGGGGTGGATTCAAATGACTCCAGAGTGCATGGCAGAATGCGTGCAACTGCATCACACCAGCCTTGTCCGCCAGAGTGGTCTCTCCAGGTCAGGTGCGTAAACCCTCACACCTCCTGGACTGGGGCTGGCTGCCTTGGCTGGGGCTGTTTCCGGGAAGGAAAAAATGATTTCTTCCTGCACTGGAGAAAGCAGTTTGCAGAGCAGGGAAGGAACCCTTCCCGGAGAGGGGCTGCTTTAGAAACTTGAGGTTAGGCTGGTGAGGGTCTGCTCCTGGGAACCAAACCTCTGTGTCAATAGGTACCAAGGCTAAGATGTAACATTAAATCCATTAGACAGAAAAAACAAAAAAAAATTGAAATTGAAGTCAGCAACATGTAAAAAAATATCGATACAGCACACTTCTGAAAATAAGACTTGGGGGGATAGTGGTGGAATTTGAAAACATATAACACCTGCGTTATTTGCATATACTTATGGTATAACTCTATAATTAGTGTTATATTCCTTGTACGTGCTGTGTAACATAGTTCTTGAAGATACAGCATGAAGAGGTATTATTTTATTTTCTTGAATGTAAAAAAGAAAAAATCAACATCTGCCTATAGTCAGAAGTCTGTAAAATTTGTAAAGATTCACTTTTGGTAGACTAGGTGCTATCAAGGAATTTCTGGGAGCTCTGAATTGATCCATCAGAACATCAGGCCGCAGCGCAAGTGAGATTCCAATCTGTTTGGGCACAGTGGGTCCAGTGGTTCAGAAGCAGTCTTCGTGCTGTAGGAAGACTTTTTGCTGTAAGAGAAAACTTCCAGGCCAACCTATCTAACCTCTGCTCAATTTTTGGTATCTGTTATGGATTGAATTGTGTCCTCTCAAAGTATCTGTCAACTTGGCTAGTCCATAATTCCCAATATTGTTTGATTGTCTACCGTTTTGTTATCTGATGTGATTTTTCTATGTGTTGTAAATTCTGCCTCTATGATGTTAATGAGATGGGATTAGCAGCAGTTCTGTTGATGAGGCAGGACTAAATCTACAAGATTAGGTTGTGTTTTAAGCCAATCTCTTTTGAGACACAAAAGAGAGAAATGAGCAAAGACAAGGGGTCCTCATACCACCAAGAAAGCAGCGCCAAGAGCAGCATGCGTCCTTTGGAACCAGGGTCCCTGCACCTGAGAAGCTCCTAGACCAGGGGAAGATTGATGACAATAAGGACCTTCCTCCACAGCTGACAGAGAAAGCCATCCCTTGGAGCTGACCCCCTGAATTTGGACTTCTAGCCTACTGGACTGTGAGAGAATAAATCTGTTTGTTAAAGCCATCCACTTGTGGTATTTCTGTTATACCAGCATGAGATAACAAAGACAGTATCCAAATCCTGATCTATCTTCAATACTTTCATATCTAAATACGCTAAAAACATGCTACCCTATCTCATCTTACTTGACATACTAGCAGCGTTTGACAGAGTAGATTTGGGTCCCTCTCTTTGACAAATTTTCTTCGCTTATTTTCCTCTTATCTTACTTCTCATGCTTGTCAGTTTCTTTGCTGGTTTCTTCTCTCTGTGCACAACCCCCCACCCCCACCCCCAATGCACACACACCTGCTAGTGTGTCCTGGTTCTTTTCATTTCTCTATCTGCATTCATTCCACAGTAATATCACACAGTCTCATGTCCTTAAATACTATTTATATGCTGATGACTACCCAAAGTATATCTCTAGCCAAATCATTCTCCTGAACTCCGGATGCCTACTGAAGACCTATTTTACCAGAGTCTAACTAACATGGGTTTTAGCCTAAACAACATTGGGGAAGGGAAAGACCTCACTTGAGCTCCCTCTAACTTTCAGTGTGGAAGGAGGGACATACAGAACTCCAGACCCCTCTCTCCTTCCTGTGTCATCTAAGGGGCCGGGGTGGTGGGGAAGAGGCAGAAGCTGAGAAGCACTTGTGAAAGTCAAAGCCCAAGGGCACAGCCCTACTAAAAGACTGAGACCTAATGATTGGATTACTGAATTCTTCCACTCCCCCTACACCTTACCACCACATCAACAGGGCTCCTGTATAATAAAAGAGGATTTCAATAGAAAGAACTCCAAGACTTGGGCCCTATTTAAGGAGTCTCTAGGGAAACACAAAGACAACACAGAGACAAAAACAAGGATACTAAAGGAAATAGTAGCTGTTTAGCTACAGCAAACAGTAAACACAGCCTAATTTATCTCAGATAAACATAAAATCTAATAGTACAGACCTATTTACCTCAGTTCTTTTACTTGATACATCATATCTAGCTTAAAAAAAAATTATGAGGCATGCTAAAAGCCAAAAACAGCCTGAAAGGACAAAGCAAGCACCAGAACCAGACTTAGATAGGCCAGGAATTTTGAAATCAGACTAAGAAATAAAACTAACTACAATTTATAGGTTAAAGGCTACAATGGAAAAAGTGAACAGCATGTGATAATAGATGGATAATTTAAGCAGAGAGATGGAAACTCTAAGAAAGAAGCAAAAGAAATTTCTAGAAATCAACAACTCTGTAACATAAATGAAAAATGCCTTTGATGGACTTATCAGTAGACTAGACATGGCTAAGGGTAGAATCAGTGACAATCAGGCATATTGAAGCTATGTCAACATAAACTTCCCAAACTGAGAGAAAAGAAAAAAACAAACAAAACAAAATATCCTAGAACTGTGGGACAGTTACAAAAGGTATAACATACACATATTGAGAGAAAAAGAAAGAGAAAGGAACAGAAGAAATATTTTAAGTAATAATGGCTAAGAATTTTCCAAAATTAATGACAGACACCAAACCACACATCCAGGAATCTCAGAGAACACCAACTGGGATAAATACCAAAAAATCTACACAATGGTAAATCATATTTAAACCACAGAAAATTAAAGACAAAGAGAAAATCTTGAAACAAGTCAGAAGATAATATACAATATCCATAGAGGAAAAAGGATAAGAATTACATTGGAACTCTTTTCAGAAACCATGCAAGAAAGAAGGTGGTGGAGGAAAATATTTAGAGTGTTGAAAGAAAAGAACTATTAACCTAGAATTATCTATCCAGCAAAATTATTCTTCGGCAGTAAAGGGGAAATAAAGACTTT